ACCTTTTAATGTTTTTATTTAATTATTATTTCTTATTATTTTGTACTAATTTGTGTATTTATATTTATTCTTTTTTTAATGTAATTTTTTTCACTTAACTTTATTGCTATCACACAGGAGCTAACAACCCCTGTGTGATAGCATTTGGAGGTGACAGATTCTCTTTACTGACCCTGTCACCTCCAGGATAGGAGTTTCGCTACATTGGCGGTCAGTGTGAATAGTTTCATTACATTGGCAGCCGGCAGGGCCGGACTGGCCATCGGGCATACCAGGCACTTTCCCGGCATCTCCCCTCCCCCGCACCCATCGGCGGCCAGCAGCTTCGGCACAGGGGCCGGGACGGGCCGAAAATTAGGCTGATTGTGTTTGGCCCGTCCTGGGCCCTATGCCCGAGGCTGCTGGCCGCCGAAGGGTGCAGGGGCAGGGAGATGGTGCCGTCAGAAGGGATTGTGGCAGGCAGTGCTGAGGACCCCACCGCTGTGACCCGTCCTGTCAGCTCTCTAGCTCTGTTCTGTAGCTGCAGCGGCCGGGAGGAGAAAGAGAGCGCTGACAGGAGGGATCGCAGCTGCGGACATGGTCTACATCTTTGTAGGAAGCAGTCCGTGTAGCTGAATCTGCGCCTACGCTCGGACTGCAGGGTCTCAGGGGGGCTGTGCAGGATCTGTAAAAATCATCAACCGGATTTCAGGGGGGATTTGCAGGATCTGAGTCGGGGTCTATGGTGGGCTCTGCAGGGTCTCAGGTGGGCTTAGCAGCCTGAGACCCCACAGAGCCCACCACAGACCTTGCAGAGCCCACCTGAGACCACAGCCGAGTGGAGTAAATTTAGTGTGTGGAGGGGCACCCGAGATCATGTTTTGCAGGGATTTTTAGTCCTCTATAGCTGATGGTATTATTCTGCATTAGAGTGTAAGCTCCTCTGTACAGAGACTGATGTGACTTCTCTGTACAGCACTGCGGTATATGTCAGAGCTTTATAAATGTATAATAGTGTGTGACTGTGCGGGGGACATTAGTGTTAGCTACTTTAGTGCAGAGAATGCCAGGGGGATTCTCTATAGTAATATGTCTGTGAAGGTTCATTCATCCAGGTCACATGGTATATCTGTAAAAAATAAGTCAAGGCAACTGGACTTGCTGTATTTTTTTTGAAGACGTTTCACTGGCCATCCAACTAGCTTTTTCTATTCAGAAATTTCTGATGTCTATGGTGGGCAGAGCCAACCACAGATCCTGCACAGCCCCCTGAGACTGCAGGGTCTCAGGGGGGCTGTGCAGGATCTGTAAAAATCATCAACCGGATCTCAGGGGGGATTTGCAGGATCTGAGTCGGGGTCTATGGTGGGCTCTGCAGGGTCTCAGGTGGGCTTAGCAGCCTGAGACCCCACAGAGCCCACCACAGACCTTGCAGAGCCCACCTGAGACCACAGCCGAGTGGAGTAAATTTAGTGTGTGGAGGGGCACCCGAGATCATGTTTTGCAGGGATTTTTAGTCCTCTATAGCTGATGGTATTATTCTGCATTAGAGTGTAAGCTCCTCTGTACAGAGACTGATGTGACTTCTCTGTACAGCACTGCGGTATATGTCAGAGCTTTATAAATGTATAATAGTGTGTGACTGTGCGGGGGACATTAGTGTTAGCTACTTTAGTGCAGAGAATGCCAGGGGGATTCTCTATAGTAATATGTCTGTGAAGGTTCATTCATCCAGGTCACATGGTATATCTGTAAAAAATAAGTCAAGGCAACTGGACTTGCTGTATTTTTTTTGAAGACGTTTCACTGGCCATCCAACTAGCTTTTTCTATTCAGAAATTTCTGAATGTAGAAAGCTGGTTGGATGACCAGTGAAACATCTTCAAGAAAAATACAGCAAGTCCAGTTGCCTTGACTTATTTTTTACAGATATTCTCTATAGCAAGCTTCCTATATTGTAGCAAGGCTTGTGTGCCAGCTGTAGCCCTGTGATACTTACTAGTGGCCGGCCCTGCCCCTCGATTGCGCTTCTGTGTTTGGCTCTGCCCCCTGTTGTGAGGGGTGGGGCCTGTTGGTGGTCACGTGATTGGGCTGCTCAGTCTAAAATGCCAGGGCCTATTTTTAGTCCCAGTCCGGCCCTGCAACCTAGGTTATGATTTTTTGATGTATTTTGCTTAAAAAGCATTAGTTACCGTTCGTATATAAATTGTTAGGTCCATCTAAATCTGCGAGTGCATCTAACACTTCCATCTCGCCAGGATGACAATGCTGCTGTCCAATGTGGCTCTAATTCTCCTCCATGAAGTGAAGCCACCTTAAAACGGGATATGTGTTGCTGGACGGATAACCATGTAAAAATAAAGGGATGAAACACCTCAAAACAAACCCCCAATTAACTCATCCACCACATTTAAGATTTGGTAAACTGCAATACATAATTTATAGTTATATAAAATAATTATATTCATACCTGTGAAAATGCCCCGATACTTAAATTTTTTAAAACTGCTTGCTGAGGCCCTGTTTACAGCACTTCCAACACATCTCCTCCTCCTTCACGGGGAACCTCAGGCCCCACACAACCCACCTGACACCCAGAACAGCTCTACTGAGACTCTACACAGCCCACCTGAGAACCTCCACAGCTCTCCTGAGACCCAGTACAGCCCTCCTGTGAGCCTGGAGACATCACGCTGCCATCTTAGAGCAACACAGAGTATGTAGCTTCATATTATTCTTCATTTCTGTATAATAAATAGCTGGTATTTGTAGTCCTCTATAGCTGATTGCATTCTGCATTTCTGTATAATGTATTGCTTTAGTCCCTCTACAGCTTGATGTCAGTGGCAGAACTACCAGGGTTGCAGTGTTTGCAGCTGGGACCAGACCACCACTGTCATAAAATCATTAGTCTGTATTGTTTCAGAAAATCTGTCACATGACACTAAGAAAAGGGAATCAGTAATTGGTATTGGCGAGAACTTGAGGAAGAGTATCAGTTCTCATACTAGGTCCTGAAAAATCGGTATCAGTGCATCCTTACTAGAGACACAAGCAGATCCTCTAATCAAAGGAAATGTAAATGTGAAATGCCAGAGGATGCAATTTGCATTTCCAAACTCTAAACTCAATATGTAAAGCTGTGTTCCCTTAGTTTTATTTTATAATCTGCCATAATTTACACAGCTCTGCTACATTATCAAATTATATTCGGATTTCTGGATAAAGGGAAACTACATCATCATTGTAAGTATTAAAAAAAGTTAAGATAGCAGAACACTGGAAGGTGGGGTAACAATCTTGCTTGCAGGTGATAAAGTTTCTATCTCCACGGATTATGTATTTTTTTACCATTATTGGCTTTTAGGAAAAATAAAGTGATTGTGACCTTATATACAGAACATGAATCATTAACTATTACAACACACAGTATATGTAAAAAAAATGTTTTATTTATAATTCCAAGATACAAACAATCTCTAAATACAGTAAATGCATCTGTAGGAAAACCAAATCACTACATTCTATTTATGTGAGACGAGCCATTCTTCCATTAGGAAGAATCAATTTAACAATTTTTTTTACAGCACAGAGATCTATGAGTCTTGGAGGACTGGACCCCTTCCTCGGGACCAAAGTAAGTGTTTTTTTTACATTATAGGTGTAACATTTTCAGACAAACCAGGAGTCACTGCTTTGTTTCTTTCACTTTTGTGTGTAAATTTTTGTTTGAGCATCTGAGCTCTGTAAACAATAAGGCATCACACATGAAAAGGAACCAAGAACATGACCCGCTGTGTGCATATAAAATTAAACAAATATTCAAGGTGAATTTCTAAATTCCTCTAAAAAAGAAAGAAAAAACAATACATGCCTTAGTCCTGACCATAAGTAGCTACATATTATACATTCCTTGTAAAAGCTTGAAGCAAATAAATATTGTTTTTAGCATATTGTATTTATTTGTAATGGTCAGGACTATTCTTAGATAAATTGAGATTATTGAATAAAGATATTACATAATTTTCAATATGCCATGCAAGATTATCATTTTTTTTCTTCCTGTTGAGTACAGAGCTCTATAGCTGAAGCTCATTTTTAAAACACACAATTTACTAAAATATGCTAAACATATACTGTGTTTATATATATATATATATATGTTTAGAAAATAAAATGGCTGCAATTTACCGAAGAAACCTTTACAGTTTTCCAAGATAGATGCAAATGACATTAATACCGTGCATAGGGCTAGAAACGACTGGGTGGATGATAAAATCAGCTGAAATTTTTATATGTGACATGTGTACATTGTAATGTAATTGATTTACTAAAAGTAGTAATAACAGTGCACCTAATTTCTGAAAAATATTGTATACATATATACACTTAGCTTAGTGAATGGGGTAAAGATGTGTTCAGTTGTATTATTCAATTATGTGAAATCAAAAATGTATATTTTCTTTTGTAAAATTTCTCTTGTACATGACTGATTGTGAAAGTGAAGTCTAACGGGGTTATTCAAAAAGGGTGAAGAGTTTGGAGAAGGAAGGAGAAGTGAACAATCTAGGACAGGGATGTCCAAACTGCAGCCCTCCAGCTGTGGTGGAACTACGAATCCCACGAGGCTTTGCAAGATTCCCACAGCCATGACTCCCGGAGAGAGATGCTTCATGGGATTTGTAGTTTCACCACAGCTGGAGGGACGGAGTTTGGACATCCCTCATCTAGAACAGAGCTGAACTGGAAAGTGAGCTGAATTTGAGAATTTTTTCCAGTTCGGCTATGTTGTCCTAGATTGTTCACTTCTCCTTCCAAACTCTTCCCTCTATTGTGAATAACCTTTTAAGTAACACAGCTTCATCTTACATAATCAGCTAAGTGAAGATACAGATTGTAAAGTCAACAGTCTCTATTAATTTAGTAAATCAACCTCAATGTGTTTCTGACCGCGACTTGTGTTTATGTCATCAGAACAACCTTGGAAATGGGACAATTGCAAAAATATCCCAAATGCCCCGCTGTGACTCCTGCAATAAGCTGCTGTCTGTGGAATTTCAGATGTAATCACACATGCTGTAGTTAGCTGTGGATAATAGCAACTGGATGCAGCTGATCGCATTAGTCTCAGGGAAGTTCATAGGACTTATGTGATGAAGCTCTTCTCACATTCAGAGCATCAAAACAGACTTTTCTCCAGTGTGAATCTTCTGGTGGCTGATAAGATATGACCTTTTTGTGAAGCTCTTGTTACATTCTGAGCACCTATATGGTTTCTCTCCAGTGTGAATCCTCTGGTGAACAGAAAGCCTTGACTTTGAGGTGAAACATTTGTCACATTCTGAACACCCATGTGGTTTCTCTCCTGTGTGGATCCTCTGGTGTTCAGTAAGATTTGTCTTTTTTGTGCAGCACTTGCCACATTCGGAACATCTAAATGGCTTCTCTCCAGTGTGAGTCTTCTGGTGTTCAGAAAGAGTTCTCTTTAGTGGGAAGCTTTTGTCACATTCTGAGCATTTAAAGGGTTTCTCTCCAGTATGAGTCCTCTGGTGAGTATTAAGATTTGACTTTTGTTTGAAGCACTTCCCACATTCTAAACATCCAAATGGCTTCTCTCCAGTGTGAATTCGTTGGTGTTCAGTAAGAATAATCTTCTGTGAGAATCTCTTGTCACATTCTGAGCATTTAAATGGCCTCTCTCCTGTGTGTATCCTGTGGTGTTGAGTTAGATGATGCTTAATTGAGAAGCACTTGTCACATTCTAAACACATAAATGGCTTCTCTCCAGTGTGAATCCTCTGGTGTCTGATAAGAATTTGTTTTTTTGTGAAACACTTTTCACATTCAGAGCACTCAAATATCTTCTCTCCTGTGTGACTCCTCTTGTGTTGAGTGAGATGTGTCTTGTCAAATGGTTTCTCTTCATTATGAATCTTCTGGTGAACTGTTAGAAATGACTTTAAGATGAAATTTTTCTCACTGTCCGAGCACTCGTATAGCTCGTCTCCTCTGGGATTCATTATGTGCTAAAGAATGCCAACTTAGCAGTGGAATATTTTCAGACTGCTTAAATAAAAAAACAAATAGGAATTTCAGTGAGTCCCTGAACAAAAAAGGAAAAATAAAAATAAATTATTATAGCAACAGATGAAGACCAGCCTCAAAAGTTTAGACTAACACAAAATTGTTCGTCTTTATGTAAGAAAAATGGGGGTGATTTCGACTAATCATAATAATATGAATATTAATAAATAATATCCATATCATTTATCAACACCCACTTCTTACTGTTCGAGAGGGGTAGGCCAGCTAAGAAAACACACACAGTGAACTGTAGGTTTAAACAAATATATTATAACTGGAATTTAAACATACACAGCTTGATTATTGATAAAGAGGAGATTACAGTAACAACAAAAACAACAAATCATATCAATGAGTACTAGCACAGCAATAGCAAACCAGCAATACTCAAATAACACTACTAAACCAGGGAAGACAACAACCCAACACCTCTACAACATATAAAATATGATAAACTGGTTGGCATAACATGTCAATTGAATGTACGTCTATTACCCATCCTGTAAGATTTACACAGGTTCTGGACTGTGGTTCCCAAAATGGCTTCCTCTCCCTCTGACGGCCTCTCCTCTCCGAAATGCCTCCCTTTCTCCCTCTGATGGTCTCCTCCTGTTTCTGGCCCCTGACAATTGTTTTAGAAAGCTCTACCCCCATAGACTTGCATTGAGTTCAAGTGCAAACTTTTTGGATGTTCTAAAGTTCAAATTCAAACCGAACTCAGGCCTGTTTGGCCCATCACTACCTCTGTTGGCCTCTCTACCAAAGTTACTTTATCTCCCTCTGATGGCCTCTCCTCTCCAAAATGGCTTCATCTCTCCCTCTGATAATCTCCGCCTGGTTCTGGCCCCTGTCTCTTTATTCTACCCTGTTTCCCCCGAAAATAAGACCTACCCCGAAATTAAGACCTAGTACTATTTTTGGGAATTGCTAAAATATAAGACCTACCCCGAAAATAAGACCTAGTTGTGACCGATCCCTGGGCCGGTGGTGGCAAAAGGGGGAATTTGAAGAGCCGCGGGAGAGAATCAGCGGTGCCAACAAAGCCAGCGCTACAGGAAGCGAGGCGGCAGCGGAGGGAGCAAAGCCGCATAAGCCGATGCTTCCCCTATAGCGCCGTCTCCTGTCACAGGCGGAGTGATACCAAATGCACTCCGCCTGTGAGTAATCAATAGTGAAAGCGTGCTTCACTCATTCTGGCCAGCGATGGTTAACAAATTGCTCTTGGAAAGGTACGACACACCTGATTGCCCTGATCACCATATTCTTAACTTTGACACTCACTCCTGTCTTGTAAATCTTCTACCGGTAATAAGTGTGGATTGTTGTACATTTAAAAAAATAAGACCTACCCCAAAAATAAGACCTAGTGCGTTATTTTGAGCCAAAAAAAATATAAGACAGTGTCTTATTTTCGGGGAAACACGGTAGCTAAGCCAATTTACTATTAGAAACCCCTGATTGGTCCACAAAACCTAATCAGAGCTATCTCACAACATTGATTGGATGGTAGCTTAAGTCTCTTTGATCTACTAATACATAGGTTGGCTATAACCCGGCTTGCTCCATCTTGTCTGAGAAGAGTTTACAGTATATGCATAATATCTTGAGTGTTATCTTCCTGAACCAATGGACACTCCCAAAATACCACTTGGTGTAAAACCAGTTGTACCTTTTAGCATATCAAGGTGCCCATTGATCTCAAAGAGGCAACACCTCACATATACCAAAAGGAGAGATCTGCAGGACATATTAGCATACCAACAAACTAATCCTTTTATTTATACTAGTCTTGGGATTTCTTAAATTTAGACAGTTTGCAGTTCAGATGATTAGTTCTCATTCGTTTTTTTTTCTAAATTCACACCGCACAGGAAATAATAACTGAATACAGGTTTGTCTTTTCTGAGTGGAGAATGTTTTAAGTCAATGAAGTATCTTTTTACTCCAAGCCCCCAAACAGGAAGGGTGGCATAATACAAGCATTTAACTTTAGAAGTCCTGCAGTAATCGTAAAAACCTCAGGGTGGTTGGGGCTGGTTCTGTTCACATGAGTTCACTCCATGGAAGCCTTAATTACAGAGAAGCTACATATAAATAATAATGGATACATCCATGGAATAGGATTTACAAAGCATTAAAAGGTTTTGTAAAGATAGTTTAGAGTAGAAGCTTTCCCATTTACAACACACTGTCTGTCAGATGGAGCCATAGGAAGAAAAGGGGAGGATTCACAGTTCTGGTTCCCTTGTGGTGTGTGTAAATGTAAGCGTGTTGTTGAATTCTGAATAAACATGTGTGTTTTTTTTCTTTCCGAAGCAGACGCAGATTTGGATGAATCCGAATTACAGATATAACGAATGCAAACAAATCCGAATATCCGCTTCCGAAAGTTGTCAGTGGTAGTCTGTATGAATTGTCATTTTGTGTTCGTTTCGTTCATTCGTTGCATATGAAAAGTATGATGACACCTCTACTCACAGACCCAAATGGCATTCTGGAGATCACGAATGTCAAATGGACGGAGCGAGCCATGACGCCACAGCTCGCTCTGCCCATCTGTTTAAATTTCGGGCAGAAGATGTAATTTTGCGGTGAGTCTTCGTCGGGTTCGGGTGGTCGTTGTGCAGCGGGACTTTTTTCATTTTGGCGGGCGTCGTGCATCGCAATTGACGCTAGATTACATCTATGGAGCCATTTTATTAAATTAAAGGAAGTCAAAAATTGACTTTCAATTAAAGGATTTTTTTCTAAAAGTGTGGTTTGTTTATTTACTTTGAATGTAACCCTTTAGTGAATGAGTAGGGGTACAAGTACCCCTTACTTATTCACAAGGGGGGCAGCATCTGGGTGCTCCCTTAATTAAAGGGGTACCCCGATAAAAATAAGCCCCCTTACCCGCAGACCCCCACAACCACCGGGTCAGGGTTGTGGGGAAGTGGCCCTTGTCCCCATTGGCACGGGGACACCCTCCCATGCCGAGGGCACATGGCCTGGTAAGGCGCAGGGAGGCGCACAATCATCCCCACTTTCCTGCTCTGCTGGGCCTGTGCTCTGATCAAGGGTCTGGTAGGACTGTTAGGGGAGACCCCACGTTTGTTTTCCCATTTTTGGGGGCTGGGGTTCCCCCTTAAAATTCCCACCAGACCTAAAGGGCCTGGTATGGATTTTGGGGGGAACCCCATGCACTTTTTTTGTTTTAACTTGGGGGGTCCCTCCTAACATTTCTACCAGACCTAAAGGGTCTGGTGAATTGGGGAGGAACCTCACACTATTTTTTTCCTCTTCCGCAGACTGAAAAACATTGTTTTTTTCCTCTCAAATGCCACTTTGCTGCGACGAATGAATGAAACGATTCGTACAGACTACCGCTAATTAATTGCGTCCGAATCCCGAAACAAATTGACTTTCGGACCCGAAAAACGAAAATGCAAAATCCAAAACGAAACAAATGTTTTGCCGGTGCACGTCTTATTCTAAACAATTCTAAGTCTTTTTTTCAGCAAAGGAGCCAAGTAAATCCATTGGAAACTCATAAAGAACCCAGAGCTCCAGGTGCTGGCAGTTTATGTCAATGCAAACATTTTTTCACAAATTCATGCTTCCTACCATCAATCACTACAATACTCCCTTTTCATGCAGTGATATAGTAGTCCCCTGGAGGCACTATGGTGCCCAGAGAGGTACATGCTTTCTGGCATACACCAAATTATAAGACAATAGTGGTTCTCTTAACTCTGCAAGAGAGGGAAGATTTCACATGCTGCCTGCCATAGAGGTTAGTATTCAGCTTACACTTTTTTTAAGGTGCCTTCTGACTACAGGAGAAGTTTTAATCCTTCCCCACTCTATCTAAACAGAAAAAAGTTAAGCTATAGGTACACTTTCATTTTATTCATGAATATGTTGTTCTATGAACCTCAGAGTCATGCGACAAGAAGCTACAATCCCTTTCCAGAAGTACAATAAGAACCTTTCGAGTATTAATGGACTGACAGATTAATATCATCCTGAGTAAACATTGAGACAGCCCATGTTTCCCAGTTGATTCCTTAACACATTTTCTGTTGCCTGGATTCCATTTAAATACCCAAGACATACTCTGCCTGCAGCCAACAAATCCTTAGTATAATGTTCAAAGCATATTACATTGTAAAATCCATAATCACACAGAGTGCATCTACCTGGTATAATGTAGAATGTTGTCCTATAGAAGCTTCTTGTTCTCTTGACCAGCAGTTCCTGTTACTGACTGAGCCCAGCCTTGCCTTATATTCATTTCACCACCATTCACCTACATGTGCTGGATCTCTATTGGATGAAAAGGTGAGATCTACTTCACAAAAGGAATGTTTACATTGTAATGGGGGCAGTTTCAGCTGCTCTTTGTTTCAGTCCTCCATCCTAATCACAGCCAGGAGACGTTCATTAACATTCTAATGCACGGAGGGAGGACAATAGGAGGGAACCTTCATTGTAAATGACTGGGAGTTGTCTCTCATCATTATCATAAACAGGTGACACTATAATTGTATCATCAATGACAAAAGGGAACTGGAGAATCTTTGTTGAAATGTATCTATATTTAGAAAAGGGTTATTCACTTTTGTAGGTCCGTATGCCATACGTCCTTGGCAGCGAAAGGGTTAAATGTGTTTTTTTTGCTGTGTTGACAAGATTTCCAATAATTTCCTGTCCTGTGAACACAACAAAGGAGAGGAGTTCTCTCCATAGTGAGGGAACTCTCCTCTTTACCTGTCACAGGAACAAA